TGCAAAGTATTAGTAATGTCCTATATTCTAATGCTTGGATTTTTTTTTTTTTTCATGAAGTCTTGCTCTGTAGCCCAGGCTGGAGTGCAATGGTGAGATCTCAGTTCACTGCAACCTCCACCTCCCAGATTCAAGCAATTCTCCTGCCTCAGCCTCCCGAGTAGCTGGGATTAGAGGTGCCCGCCACCACGCCCAGCTAATTTTTTTTTAATTAAAACTTGGAATATTTTGAAAAACTCCTTCCTCCTAGAGAGCTACCAAATGAAAATTTTTTTCTGATTAGCTTTTTGTCATTTTTGGAATTAGGAGTGCTTTAGATATCTGAATTCATTCAACAAGCATTTATTGAGTGGCTGCTATATGCCTGGTATGGCTCTAAGTGCTAGAGATGAAAAGAATCACCAAAGTCTTTGCTGTCATGGAGCCCTCATTCTAGTGGGGTAGGCAGACAGCAAAGAAACAAGTCCTGCATGTCACATAGTGTCAGGTGGTGTCAAGCGGTAGACAGAGAAGCTCAACATGAGAAAGGGAGAGAGAGCAGCTCCACACACTCACAAAATGGGAGTGAGAACTTCAAGCCAGTGGATGTTGTCTAATATAGGCCAATAACCTTCCCTCCATCCATCCAATCAAAGAGCTTTGCTTTTTGCTTTTTCCTTTTAAAACTCAATGATTTTCTTTTTCTTTTTTTTTTTTTTTTTTAAAGCATCATTCATCTCTAAAAACCATCCTAATTGCAAATGCTAATATTTCATGCGGTTGTCCTTAACCAGCCCACGTGTGTAGGAGGGCAGGAACATATGCAGAATACTGGGCGAAGGGGAAGGAAGTCAAGATGACTTGAATTTCCAGACTTGCCTTGGATATTTAGAAAACAGTCGTTTTAGATACAAGTGTACACTTACACTTTGAGTACTCCCCTCTCCTTCTGACAAAGATTCTCTGCTTGACCAAACTTTGGTCAAGCTTCTGAAACTTCCCTTTGACCCACCTGTGCACTTCCTTATAAAATTCTGTTTTAGTAAAGAGCCCTGTTAAGTCAGTTTAGGAAGAACCCCTACCCTGGATATCTTATCAGGTTCCTCATCCTCCACCCTCCCCCAGGTGTTGTCTGAGCACCCTGGCCTGTCTTCAGCAAGAGTCCTGTTGGGTCAGTGTATTCAGATCCCTGCTTACCCCTGATGTTTCCTTGAGTAATTTTCCATCCACTGAGCCCCAGCCTGCTCCTTGGCTATCTGTTCCCACTTGTCCATGCTGCATCTGAAGTTGAGCCCAATCTCTCTCCCCTGACGCCGTGCAGCAGTCCCTATAGCTATCTACTATCTCCATGGTTCTCAATAATGTCTGCTTTACTGTCTTCATCAAGTTTCATTCCATGTTTTTTTTCTTTAACATCTTCACCATCTCCACACAGAAATATTCTCCTTTTAAATGGACATTCAGTAACTGAGAGTGATGTGGCTGTTCTATATTTAAAATTAACCTAGGAGTATGTTGTCTCTGAAAAACTGCGCACCAGATTGCCTCACAGATCACAGCTGAGACAGACGTCCTCAAGTGAGCCCTCGCAGGCTGCATAGGAAGAATGGAAGTGGGAGTCGGGGCTGTTCTCTCTTAATACACCTTGGTAGATACATTTTTCTGCCCTCCAACCCCATTTCAAGTCTGCTCTGATGGAGAAAAGTGACGAGAGCGAATCCTTCATGGGCTGTTTGTTATCTCCCACACACACACACAAACACACACATACACACCTGGATCAATGCATTCCCCCTCTAGGGAATGCAGTTGCATGGATACTGCCCCACCCACCGAGGAAAGCTGCAAGTTTGAGCAGCTCGGGCTCTGGAACCAAAGGCTTTTGTTTAAGGAATTACCAGGCACTAAGCAGAGGCAATTCAAAACCGGTTAAACCAGTGTGGCAAGGAGACTGATTCAGACTCCTCATAGGTTTCTCCAAGTGTAACAGACACAAGCAACCCAGTTTCCTTTAAGGAGTCACAGGAAAGGTCAACCTAGTCAAGTAGTAGGGGAAAGACATCACTGGAAACCATTAGTCATGTGGATGACACGGGGCCATACCGTACTGAGGAAAAGCCACAATTGAAATATAAAGTTGCTGGGCATGAAAGACAAGCAGAGAAGGCTTCCCAGGAGAAGGGACATTTTAGTTGTGGCAAGGAGAATTTGCCAGAAGGATGGTTTAAGAAGCTGAACCTTTAAATAAATGTATTAAATATAATAAAATTCCACTTAGGAAATCATCTTAAAACTTAACAATAGGGAATATTTATTAGGACAGGAAAGAAAACTCTAAGATATTTGAATATATCTCATAGAGATGAAGAATTTTTTTAAAGACAGTTGTGATAACAGTTCCCACCAATATTGCAATACCCTGTTTATAACTGAATTAAAACAAAAATTATTTGGAAATTATAAAACAAAACATCTAAAACAATGGTCTCTCTACCTTGAAAGAAAGGTATTGCACAAATATAGCCTAGCTTACATATAAAGATTTCAAGCATTCAAATTATGCTAATGTATTTCATTTATTAACAAGCTTATTTATAGTTATTGGGTAGGCAAGACTGCAGGAATAAACGATTCAAAAGAAATGCTTAATAATTAAAAAGTGATTGTACTACCATTGGACCTAGCAATTCCATTCCTATATGTATAGCTAAGAGAAATAAAAACATCCCTATGCAAAAACTTGGACACAGATGTTCATAGCAGCATTATTTATAATAATTATTGTAAATAAAGATGGGAAACAGTCCATATGTCCATCAACTGATGAGTGGATAAATAAAATATGGCATATGCATACAATGGGATAATATTTGGCAATAAAAAGGAAAGAAGTACTGATACGTACTACAAAATGGATGAACCTTGAGAACACTATAATATGTGAAAGAAGCCAGTCACAAAAGACCACATACTGTCTAATTCCATTTATACGAAAAGTCCAGAATAGGCAAATTTATAGAGACAGAAAGTAGATTCTTGTTTGCCCAGATCTAGAGGGATGGAGATGAGAAGTTACTGTTAATGGGTAGGGGGGTTCTTTGTGGGGTGATGAAATGGTCTAAACATGTGGTTATGATCATGGAATTTCATGGAACTGTGAAATACAGTCTGCTCTCTGAAGAAATGCTACTGCTATCCAAAAAAACCCAAAAAAACAAAAAAAACCGCTTTCACTGAACAGGTTAGTTTTATATTTTTGTCTCAGAAAAAAGAATTCAGTTACCAGACAAAGGATGCAATTTCCAGTGACAAAATGCCAGGCCTAAATTAAGCTGCTTCAAAATATACCACAAGATCTCTAATGACCTCCAGTGGTCACGACTAAAATTGCCTGGTTTATGATATCTGAGCCTAGAACACGACGCACAAAGTGGTTATAAATGTGACGTCTGGTCTGTTATTTTCTTATCTTGAACGCTGCAAAGTTGGAGTAAAAGGAAACATAGCCAATGACTATCATAAAATGTCTCTTCCCCCTGATATTTCAACAGTGACTGAAGGGCCTGTTTATCCGTGCCCTGTCTTTGCAGCCTCTTTCAACAGAGCCAGAAAGACGCCTGTCTCCTTCCAGTGACTCCACTGAGAGAGTCCATTAACAATCTGCTTTGCACCCACAGATGCAGGAGTAGCCGACACATGAGGAGGAGAGAAAAAATGACTGATCAAAAGAGACTGGCAGGAAAACACGTAAGAAAGAACAAGAGGCAAGTGCTCCACCTAAAATACGCCAATTTGGTCATGCACAACTCTCAGATACTTTTGCGGGCTATCTAAGACATCCGAAGGTTACCCTCTCCTGCAGCCTCACCACCAAGTTCTAGTGAAAGTACCTAACATCAAATGATGCCATACTTAGAGTTTTTCTAAACAAACATTAGTAAATAAGCCCAAACAACGTCACACAGTCTCCTCTGTAGGCCTGATGAAGTCCCAGCTTTCTCTTCTCTGGGTAAAAGGTTCATTCGAAAGGACAGTGTTTCAGAAACAGTATTCTATTATTTTTACCCTCATTGTTGGCCTCGGGCTACCAGAAATCCTCCAGACTAACATAAGGCCATTTATTTGGCATTGAAGGCTGGAAAAGCATCCTGCCACACACCTGCTACCAGCCTGGCTGGATTCTTCAGCCACACCCAGGCAAGCTGGAGGGCTCTCTAGAATATTTCGGTCAGTCCACACGTATCTTGAATACCTTTAACTTCACAAAAGAGAATCCATTTCTAACATTCGTCTGGCTAGTTAACAAGCCACAGGTTGTTTTGAGAATAATGCCTGATATTTGCTATGCTAATTAGTAAAGTATCTGATAACTCAGGTATTTTGACCTTCCAAACTAGAGCTGGCTAATGACTCCTAGGGTATTCATTCCTGACCAGAACATGAGCTGACCCTGGGCATAACTTCAACTCACAGATGTCACACTGTCTGTGCTGAGTGTTTTAAAGTAAATTACAGACATAACATGAGGGAAGGGGAAGAAAAAGAAAGAGAACCCTCTTGGCAATCCTTGACTAGGGCTGTATAAGTCTTGCCCAGATTCCTAAATGTTTCAACCACTGTCACTTGTCATATATTTTTTAGATCCATCCATTCATTTAATGATTTTGCCTACCTATGTCCCAGACATCCATTTGCAATATATTGTCTGTCTGATGGTTCCAAGGAAAATGTAATATGCTAAGAGAATGTTAAAAATTCACTGACTGAAGCCATCGTGTTTTTGCCAACATGAAACAGTCTCACCATAGTATGAAAGCGTTAAATCCCCCCACGGCTCCACTTTAGCCTCAAGGAGAAAAGGAGAAAGCAGGCACTGGAAGAGTCTGTTTATAAACCTTAAAATATCAATTGCCTGGTTTTTTTTTCCCCTATGAACAAAACATCTCTTAAGGGTTATATAAACATTTATATATGGTTTTCTTTAAGAATCAATGTTAATTACATCATTAGGCTACATTTACCTTAACTGTGATTTAGTGCATCTTAAAAAAATCGCGAATAAGAATTCTTGACGTTGCTTGTTAGTCCAGAGGTCAAACCAATGACTTATAAGAGCCACTCTTTCCTGAAAGAGCTATAAGGGGGAGGGGAGGAAGTGGCATTTTGCTGTACAGTTCAATGTTTTTAATTGCTAAGCAATCTTTAGACAATCTACCAGCAACCTCACTGCTAATATTTGCAGAGTGCATTACAGTTCACACAGCGCTTTCACATATAGAGAGAAAGGTCTCTCCTTTCAGGTTAAACTTTTTACCCAGGGATACTGACAGGCCCAGACTTGTTGGGTGGGCTGATGGGAAGGACTGGCAGGGATGTAATTATAGAGGGGCCCAAGAAGGGCCTCTGGAAAACAAACAGGTAATGATTCCTGGATCTTGTTTCTACCTAGGCTAATGTGACAGAGTCCATACGTTTCATCTTGAAAACATATACGGGCTACACTCATTTAATTGTGAGAACAGGACCATTTGAGGTAGGTATAACTTCACTAACTCACAACCCTGGATCTTCATAGCACCCACCAAGATGAAAGTCAGTATCACTTAATAGCCAACAGAGACATGTCTCTAGGGAAGATATACATTAAGGACCAGAATCCCCCAAACCTGGATTTCGGTCCAGCTTTGCTCAGATAGAGATAACAAACTCACTGTTCTTATCATAGGTCAGGCTTTAGCCCCAGCCTGGTCTAGTCTCCTTTCCCGGTGAATGAGGCTGAACTCACAAGAGCACCCGTGAGAGCTCTGAGCACTCAGTTCGCCTTCTCTATTGCCAGAGCCACCATAAGCCATTAAATCACGACTTCCTGAATTACCTTAAAATAGGAGAGGCATCCCCAGGCCACATGGAACCATCCAATTGGCACAGGAGGGGAGAGAGGATTACAGAAATACACAGGAATACATGCATGAACACTCCCAGCCTCCACCACCAAAAGCACCTTCTCATATCCTCCCCTGTCTCCAGCAACTGTGTGTCCTGGAGGTCTCTATTTTGTCCCTGGAGGTACTGAGTGGAAAGGGAGGCCATCTGGAGCCTCCCTTAAGGTAGGAGATGGGGACAGGCGTGAGAAGAGACTGTCTTTCGGACAAAGCTAAGTTTATTTTTGTTTAAACTGAATCAAAAGCTAAACTCTTTAGAGAGTTTTTCTTTAAAAATATGACAACGTGAGACCCAATATATCACCATAAAATTAACCCTATGAATTAAACTTGTTCTACTTTAAAGTATGTAACTTACCTGTCTATTTAATGACTTGTTGCTAAAAGGTGTCCAGGCACTAAATCTTGTGTGGAAGCTCTCCATTTCTGGAGTTCTCCAGGAAGAATCCTCAGCTGACGTCTCAGCAAATTTTCTTCCACTTCTGGAAACTACAGGTTTATTTCAATAGGTGTGCAATTAAGATCACCTAGAAATATCCAATATGTTAGTGTCCTTATAGGAATTATATAATAGTAGAAATTCACATATAACATATAGACAGAATTATAACAATTCATGTGTATACATGTGTATATATACAATTCATCTGTGTATACGATAAGCCATACAAATATACACAAAAATCCCATGAACTTCAAATCATTGCAATTATTCTATTCTTACCTACTTTCACCCAAATCTGAATTTAAACAAAAGTTGTTTTTTACTTTGCTGGGAAAATGGGAAGCACTGGAAAGGTTTCAGGAAATGATACTTAGAAACTGACATGATTCATCAGTCAAGGAGGTTGACTTTTTCTTTACCTGGAAAATAAGAATTTGTTATTTTGTTAATTTTTTTTTTTTTTTTTTGATAGAGTTTCGCTCTGTTGTCCAGGCTGGAGTACAGTGGAGCGATCTTGGCTCACTACAACCTCCGCCTCCCGGGTTCAATCCATTCTCCTGGCTCAGCCTCCGGAGTAGCTGGGATTACAGGCGCGCACCACCATGCCTGGCTAATTTTTGTATTTTTAATAGAGACAAGGTTTCACCATGTTGGCCAGGCTGGTCTCCAACTCATGGACCTCAAATGATCTGCCCGCCTCGGCCCCTCAAAGTGCTGGGATTACAGGCGTGAGCCACTGCATGTATCCAAAAGTAAGAATTTGAAGTACTAGAAGATGATATTCCACCTGCCCATTTTTCAGGACAGAGGTCAAAGAGAATATAAAGAAAAACAAAATAGGCTATTGTATTATTTATTGCTGCATAGCAAATTACTCCCAAAATTTTCAGCTTAAAACAACAAACACTTATTTCAAAGCTTCTGTGGTTCAAGAATCCAGACACAGTTTAGCGGGGTACTGTCTTAGTCTAACAGGGCTCCCACAACAACCTGCCATAGACTGGGTGACTTGCACAACAGAAATTTATTTTCTCATAGTTCTAGGGGCTATAATTCCAAGATTAAGATGCCAGTAGAGTTGGTTTGAGGAGGCTTCTCTTCCTGGCTTGTAGGCAGCTGTCTTCTCACTGTGTCCTCACGTGGCCTTTCTTCCATGTACATGCAGAAACAGAGATCTCTGGTGCTGCTGCTGCTTCTTCTCCTTCTCCTTCTCCTTCTCCTTCTCCTTCTCCTTCTCCTCCTCCTCCTCCTCCTCCTCCTCCCTCCTTCTTCTGCTTCTCCTTTTCCTTCTTTTGAGACAGTGTCTTGCTTCTGTTGCTCAGACTGGAGTGCAGTGGTGCAATCATAGCTCAGTGAGCTGGGCGCGGTGGTTCACGCCTGTAATCCCAGCACTTTGGGAGGCTGAGGTGGGTGGATCACTTGAGGCCAGGAGTTTGAGACCAGCCTGGCCAACATGATGTAACCCCGTCTCCACTAAAAATACAAAAATTAGCCAGGCATAGTGGCACACACCTGTAATCCCAGCTAATCCCAGCTACTTGGGAGGCTGAGGCAGGAGAATCACTTGAACCTGGAGGCAGCGGTTGCTGTGAGCCATGATTGCACCACTGCACTCCAGCCCTGGGTGACAGCGAGACTCTATCTCAAAAATAAAAAATAAAAAATAAAAATCATAACTTTCTGTAACTTTAAACTTTTGGGCTCAAGGGTTCTTCCCACCTCAGCTTCCCTAAACACTGGGATTACAGATGCGAGCTGCACCTGGTCTCTTATAAGGACATCAGTCCTGTCAGATTAAAGCCCCATGACCTTGTTTAACCTTTATTCCTTATAGGCACTATCTGCAAATACCATAATGATCGGGGTGAAGACTTCAGCATATGAATTTGTGGGGAAAGGGGATACATTTCAGTTCGTAACCAGTACCTCTGTGTCAAGGGCTCTTATAAGGCTACAGTCGAGGTGTTTGCAGGGACTGCAGTATCACTGAAGGCCCTGAAGCTCATTCATGTGGTTGTTGGTAGGATTCCATTCCTCATGCTCTGTTGGACTGAAGACTGCAGTGCTCACCAGCTGTTGGCTGGAGGCCTCCCTTGCCTTCCTTGCTACATGGTTCTCTCCATAGGGCATCTCCCATGGTAGCAGGCTTCCATCACAGTGAGCAAATGAGAAAGCAAGAGAGGGCACACCAGAGGGAAGCCACAGTCTCTTTGTAACCTAACCTCAGAAGGGACATCCTGTCACTTTCACTGTATACTATTGGTTAAAAGCAAGTCACCAGGTCCAGGCCACACTCAAGGGGAGAGGATTAGATGACAGCATGAATAGTAATATAGCCTATCATAGTTTACCCTTTGGGTCAGTTGCTTTCCTTTCCCATATGCAGAACACACATTTTTAAGGAAAACAACCCCAAAGTTCCATCTCATCAATATTTTTAGCACAGAGCTCATGAGCTAAGAACGATTCACAAGGGTCTCTCTATAGATACAGGTATAGCTCCCTTTGATCTAAATACCTTTGAACTAAAAAGATAAGTTATCTGGTCCTTGCCTCTGTAAATAATATATATCATGGTAGAACAAGGAAAGGATAACTACAATAGATAGTCCCATTCTTAAAGAAGGATAACATATGAAAGGATTCATAGCAATCCTGAAATGCAGCTACAGAAGACTGGGGCCCAGTGATCATTTTGTCTCCAACAATCACATTCTCTTTTAGACCGTGCCAGTGATTCCCTTGACAATGTCAACTGCTCAAAATTATCCCAAATTATGTATTTGATTCTAAGCAGTGCTATGTGCCACAATTATTTAGAGAAATGTTTTTTTTCCTCTCTCTCACTGTAGATATTTTGAGCCTATCAGGCTTCCTTAGAAAAAGCCAAACCCTACATCTTCCTTCCTTGAGATGTTTTTCCAACTCAAAGTATTGGCTGGGTACCACCTTGTTCCATTCAGAGATCCTAACAATGGTGTGACAACCATACTTTTGACTGGTCCTTACCAATAGGCATAGTTTTCAGCATCATTTATTGCTCAAAGGTCTTCTCAGTTTTTTCTTTACTAGTTGAAGATGTGAATCAGTTATTCCTTCCAACTGTGCAAATCCCTGAGTTTTGAGACTCTCTCTGAATTCTTTTATATTCCTGCTTGCAAACCAGCCAAATATTTTCTGAGCTCCTCTATCTCTTCTAGTACTTTGGCAAATGTGGCCTATAGTAATAAACTCATTCTAATAGCATTCATTTTCTACCTCTTTGCATACAGTACAAACTTATTAGGTATATAATATGCCCTTTAATCTATTCCAGGCTATAGTTTTACAACTTTTTCCCACTGCATCACATGGATTGCCATCTTTTCAGGTCTTCCACAACAATTTCATGCTGTCAGACTAGAATGCCACATAATATAGAATGTGTTGCTGTTGTTACGGCAACATCCTACTCCTGGAACCAATTTCTGTATCTACCAAACATTCAAGGAAGAAATTACAGTTACACAAAATCTTCCAGAGAATAGAAAAAGTGGGAATGATTCCCAAGTTCTTTGATGAAGTTGGTATAACCTTTATATAATCTTAACACCAAAACCCAAGGACTTTACAAGAAAGAAATATTACAAGCATATTACCATAAATATAGATGCATAAATCCTACCAAAAATTAGAACACCAAACTCAGTAGTATATAGAAAAGATCATATATCACCAGCACGTTGGATTTATGTAAATTTTGTTTGACATTACAAAATCAATGTACTTCTCATTATGAACAAAAGAAAAAAAGAGAGAAAATTATATGATAATCTCAGTATAAACAAAAAGTTTTCTTTTTGTTTGTTTGGAAAGGGTCTTTCTCTGTTGCCCAGGCTGGAGTGCAGTAGCTTGATCTTAGCTCATTGCGGCCTTAACCTCCTGGACTCATGCAAGCCTCCCACCTCAGCCTCAGCTGGGACCACAGGCATGTACCACCATGCCTTGGCCTCCCAAAGTGCTGGGATTACAGGTATGAGCCCCGCAGCTGGCCCAAAAAGTGTTTCTGATAAACCTCAATACCCATTCATGACAAAAAGATCTCAGCAAACCAGGATTAGAAGGGAATTTCCTAATCTGAATAAGGGCAAATACAATAACCTATAGCAGACATGACACTAATGGTAAAATGATAAAACTTTCTCTCTGTTCACTACCACTGTCTTTATTTAACATTATTCTGGAGGGTCTTTCCAATGTGATAAACCAATAAAATAAAATAAAATAAAATGTTTAATAATTTAAAAGGAAAAAATAGGCCAGGCGCGGTGGCTCACGCCTGTAATCCCAGCACTTTGGGAGGCCAAGGCAGTGGATCACTTGAGGCCAGGAGTTTGAGACCAGCCTGGCCAACATAGCAAAACCCCATCTCTACTAAAAATACAAAAAGTAGCTGGGCGTGGTGGTGCATGCCTGTAGTCCAGCTACTCGGGAGGCTGAGGCAGGAGAATTGCTTTAACCTGGGAGGCAGAGGTTGCAGTGAGTTGAGATTGCGCCACTGTGCTCCAGCCTGTGTGATGAGGTGAGACACTGTCTCAAAAAAAAAAAAAAAAAAGGAAAAAATTAAATTGTCGTTATGTATTACAAACATAATTATTCATAATTATATGTAGAAAATATTAAAGAATCTACAGATAAATTCACAAGCTTGGCAAGGTTGCTGCACACTAGGCTTACATACAGAAATCAATTGTTTTTCTGTATGCTAACAACATGTAATAAGCAACAACATATCATTTATAACAGCATTTAAAAATCCAATATAGGCAGAGGCAGGAGGATTGCTTGAGTCTGAGTGTTTGAGACTAGCCTGTGCAACATAGCAAGACCATGTGTCTACAAAATTTTTTAAAGAAAATTAGCCAGGAATGGTGGTGCATGCCTGTAGTCCCACCTACTCTGGAGGCTAAGGTGGGAGGATCGCTTGAGTCCTGGGAGGTTGAAGTTTTACTGAGCTGTTATCTTATCGCTGCACTCCAGCCTGGGCAACTGAATGAGACCCTGTCTCCAAAACAAAAACAAAAACAAAATCCAATATAAATCAAGGTGGGACAAGTATTCCACATAGAATACTAAAAATTTTATCCAGACAAAATTTTTCAAGACCTAAAGAAGAGTATACATCTGTGAAGATATTGATTCTTCTAAATTAATCTATTACTCAATACGGTCTCATGAAAACCCAGCAAGTATGGGGGGTGTGTGTGTGACAAACTGATTATAAAATGTGTATGAAAATGCAAAGGGTCAAGACTAGCAAAGACAACTTTAAAAAGAACAAAGTGGTTGGACTTACTCTACTTGATATCAGGACTTATTATAAAGCTAGTGTAAATAACAGCATGAGATATTGGCGCAAGAATAAACAAATAAACCAATGGAACAGAGCAATTATTCCAGAAACAGACCCACATACATATGGACACTTGACCTATGACAAGGATGGCACTGCAGAGCAGTGGGATAGGATGGCTTCAGTCAGTAACACACGTGGTAGAACAACTGCCCAGTTGGACCCAGCTCACCCTCAGAACTATGAGAAATAATAAATGATTATTGTTTGAAACCACTGAATTTTGGGATGGTTTGATATCCAGCAATAACAAAAAAAAATTGGTACCTGGCAGTAGAGTATTGCTGTAATATAACTTAAAACATATGATACTGGCATTGGGACTGGGAAGCAAGTGAAAATTAAAAGGGTGTGGAGGAGATGGTGTAGTGGAGTGTAGAGAAAGGCTAGTCAGAAGATGACTGGCATTATGTAGCAGTGGAAAGTTTAGTAACACTGTTACCTGCACTAATGTGGAGGATAGAAAATGTGTCAATGAATTTATAGACCTGGCTAAAGAAATTCTGAGCAGGATGTGGAAAGTGCTGATTGGCTCCTTTAGCTGTCCAAGGTGAGAGAGATGAATTAACCTAAAAAATCTGTTTAGTCTTGGGGCAAATTTTAATGATAAAGAATATCTAGGCCGGGTCCGGTGGCTCATGCCTATAATCCTAGCACTTTGGGAGACTCAGACAAGCAAATTGCTTGAGCTCAGGAGTTTGAGACAAACTTGGGCAACATGGCAAAACCCTGTCTCTAAAAAAAAAATACAATCATTAGTAGGGTAAAAGAAAGCAAAAATTACCCCTGGGAGAGCAAGACCAACCCTTCTTCTCTCTCTTCCTCCTCAGCCTACTCAACATGAAGATGATGGGGATGAAGACCTTTGTGATGATCCACTTCCACTTAATGAACAGTGAATATATTTTCTCTTCCTTATGACTTTCTTAATAACATTTTCTTTTCTCTAGTTTACTTCATTGAGAGAATACAGTATATAATATGCATAACATACATTATACGTTAATCGGCTGTGTTATCAGTAAGGCTTCCAGTCAACAGTAGGCTATTACTAGTTAAGTTTTGGGGGAGTCAAAAGTTACGCATGGCCAGGTGCAGTGGCTCACGACTGTAATCCCAGCACTTTGGGAGGCTGAGGTGGGCAGATCCCCTGAGGTTAGGAGTTTGAGACCAGCCTGGCCAACATGGCAAAACCCCATCTCTACTAAAAATATAAAAATTAGCTGGGCGTGGTGGTGGGCACCTGTAATCCTAGCTACTCGAGAGGCCAAGACAGGGGAATCGCTTGAACCCAGGAGGTGGAGGTGGCAGTGAATTGAGATTTCACCACTGCACTCTAGCCTGGGGGACAGAGCGTGGCTCCATCTCAAAAAAAAAAAAAAAAAAAAAGGCGTGAATTTTCAGCTGCACAGGGGATATGTGCCTCTAACTCCCACATTGGTCAAGGGTCAACTATAAAAGAGTTTTAAAGAATCTTAAAGTCTTTGTCCCATAGCACCCCAATCCATAGCCCAAAGCAGAAAAGGACCTATCTCAAAGAGACTTGTGGATATAGCTTTTGTCTAATAGAATAAATTACAATTACATATGTACAAAGCCCACAGAATTGTCAAGAGGCTTGTTCTCATGAAAGCATGGCCAGCTTGAAATAAGAAGGACCAAGAAATTTTGAAATAAAAAGTCTCTAAGCCACCATTTTAAGCTGGGTGTCTAGGGAAACAGATAACGTGTCTTTTGAGCTCACAGGTCTCCAGATTGAGAGGAGTGATGAACAAGGAGCCTCATTTGCAACTGGACCTGATGGAGATCACAAGAGACTGGCCTTCAAGCTTCATACCATAATTGGAAGACACTATGGTGGTGTCTTGGTGTGAAATAAATATATTTTGTGTGCTGCAAGTAAGAATTGTGGCCAGAAGGAGGAACACGGTACATTGTCTGCGCCCATGGCCAGGAACAATTGCTCCCATCCCTGTACCCACATACCAGTTCTCTATCAAAAGGTGGAGTCTATTCTTCTCCCTCTCCTTGAATCAATCTGCACTAGCACTGGCTTCTTTTAACCAATGGATATTGTGGAAGTGATGATATGTGACTTCTGGGCATGGACCTTAAGAAGACTTGCAGCTTCTATTTTTGCATTCTTGGAATCCAGCTGCCATGTAAATAAGCCTGGGCTGGGATACTGGATGACAGGAGACCATATGGAGAGAGCTTGAGCCAGCCCCCAGCTGTTTCAGCCACCCCTGTCAAAGCACCAAATGTGCAAACGAAGTCATCTTGGATATTCCAACTAAGCTTCCAGGTGAGTGCAACCACATGAATCACCCCAGCCCCAACACACAAAGCATAAGAACTGCCCAGCCGAGGCCAGCCTACCCACAGAATTGTGAAAAATAACACGTTTCCTGTTTCAAGCTACTAAACTTTGGAATGGTTTGTTATCCAGAACAGACTGACAAAGCCATGTGTTGGTGAGCATCCAGAGCTCTCACACAGTTGGTGAAAGTACAAATTGGTATATGTACTTTGCAAAACTATTTGGCGTTATTTCCAGAATAATGCCAAACTTGACCCAACTGGAAAAAATATACATGTGGACTAAAATATATCACCAAGAATACGCACAGCTGCACTGGATAGCTCCAAACTGGAGACAACCCAAGCATCCACCAGTAGTCCAGTGGCTAAATCTACTGTCATGCATTCATGCAATAGAATACTATACATAAATGTATAGTATAAATGTAGTCTGCTGCTACACAAAACAGTAAGGATGAATCACACACAGAGCACATTACACAGAGGATGCTGGGAATAAAATAATACATGTGGCATGGGTTCATTTACCAAAGTTCTACCCTGTAGTGTTAGACGTCAAGATAAGGTTTACCTTTGGGGAGGAAAGAGAGGGTAATGATTGGGAGGGGACACAAGAGGTTATTCTGCATGCTGGTGCTAATGTAGAGAGGGAGCCCTACACTTCCCGCATGCTGTGATGCATTGAATGCTACACTCATGATCTGCATGTTTTTCTATGTCCTATATTTCAATCAAGTTTATAAAATGATATCATTTACAATAATATCAAGTACTACTGAGTACCTAGAAAAAATTAAGAGTGCCAACTTTATGAAGAAAATTATAAAATTTTATTGAAAAATACTTTTAAAGTCCTAAATAAATGGAGAGAGATGTCTTATTCATGGATTAGAGGACTCAGTAGAGTGAAGAGATTAACTGCCTCAACTTGATCTACAGATTCAACGCAAGCTCAGCAACAAGAGATATTGTGGGGGTGAGTGTGTGTGTGTGTGTGTATAAAACTTCAAAGTTGATTCTAAAATATTTATGGAACTTTAAAGGGCCAAAACCAGTCAAGACAGTCTGAATAAACAAGGAAGGGAGATGTGTTTCTAGATACCAAGACTAACTATAAAGCTGTAGTAATCAGATGATAAAAATATTAGTTTGGGGACAGACAACAAAACCTGTGGAACAGAAGAGAAACTCCAAAACAGACCCAGGTATACAGGGGCACTTGTTAGATGACGAATCAGAAGGGGAAGGGTGGATTGTTTCATTTATAGAAAACGGATTATATGTTTTAAAAAAGAAAAGAAACTGGACCCCTTTCTCACACTATATACACACACACATCAACTATAGGAAGTTTTTTCATATATATAAAATCAATTACACATGGTCTGTGAATCCCCAGAAGACAAAATTAGGAACAGTGGATGATGTCAGAGAAGAAGATTTTGGCTCAATCTAAGTGGGAAAAAAATCACTCCACAGCTTTAGCTGTCTCCAGAGATTATGTCCATTACTGGAGTTGGTAAAACTCAAGGTGGACAACCACTTGTCAGTGATTTTCTAGCTGGGATTCAAGCATCACAAACATCTAAGTTTCTAAGCAACCCTCTGTTGCTATAAATTCCAAGAAGAGAGAGTACAACGTGGCTTGGTGTAGCTGAAGAAACTTTATTGAAGAGTCAAAATAATTCTAGAATAAGACATTTGCAGTGCCTCTGCTCTTATTACATTTCAAGAGAAGAAGTACATTTTTTTTTCAATGAATATATTAGGCATGCATCATATTAGGAACAATTTTAGAAATGTTACAGACGAGCAGCATGGCAGAGAGAGCACTAGATTTGGATCTCTGCTCTGACTCCCCAAAATTAAGGCTTTACAAGTGATTTACTATTTGGGCCTCAGTTTCCTCATGTGTAAAGCAAGACAGTGATGTGTCTTGGTAAACTATATTATAATGTGTTGTTCAGATAAAAACTTCTTAGCAATGTGGGAAATTAAATACCTCCTTCTGAATCAACACTAAATGAAAACAAATTCTTAGTTTCATAAGATGCCCAGCTGTTGTTACATGAAATCCCTCCAAGAGCCAACATATGGGATTTTTATTTAGCAAGTTCTCAAAATTGTTATTACACTCTGTGTTAAGGGATTACTGAGTTATACAATGAGCTGAACATTACAGAAAGAATAGTCGCTGTCTCTGCTGGTGGGCTTAAATATGTGAGCATAGTATAGTATATTGTGTGTGTGTGTGTACATGCATATATGTACAACTTTGGACAGGATTATTTTCTTTTTCTCTTTCCTTTAGTTTTTTACAGTTGGGATTTCACTGTATTGTTTAGACTGGAGTGCTTTGGCACAATCATGGCTTACTGCAGCCTCAAATTTCTGCCTCAAGGGACCTCAGCCTCCCGGGTAGCTGGGGCTACAGGCATGACCAACTGCTCCTGGCTCAGGATTATTATCATTATTATTTATTTATTTATTTTGAGACAGAGTCTCTCTGTGTTGCCCAGGCTGGAGTACAGTGGTACAATCTCGCCTCACTGTAAGGTCCGCCTTCTGGGTTCAAGCGATTTTCCTGCCTCAGCTTCCTGAGTAGCTGGGATTACAGATGCACACCACCATGCCTGGCTAATTTTTGTATTTTCAGTAGAGATGGGGTTTTACCATGTTGGCCAGGCTGGTCTCCAGCTCCTGGCCTCAAGTGATCCGCCCACCTTGGCCTCCCAAAGTGATGGGATTACAGGTATGAGCCACCGTGCACTGCCTGCCTCAGATTATTTTGATTATGTGAAGATACTAATTTTGTTGACTAGCTAGTCAACCCAGGGAGAAATGGCAGGCTGACAATTACTACTTCTTTAATGGAATAATTTCTTTTCTTATTCTAGCATTTTACATTGCTCCAAATAGTAGTGCCATAAGATATTAATAACTATTTCCCCAGAAAATAGGATCTGTGATTCAATGATTGAGATATTAAACTTATTTCTTTTTTGTAGGATGTTTTGGATGTTTTAATATGCTTAATGTTCACACTGAATCTCCAAGAGGGGAAAATAATATCCAGCATTTTCCTTTGTTCATTGTTATATGGAGACTATCGTAGTGTGTATTGATTATCTAATGGGGTTATCATACTGTTTATTTAATGCTGCGTAACAAATTGTCCCAAAACTCAGTGGCTTAAAATAACAAACACTTATTATCTCACGGTTTCTATGAGTGATGAGTGTAGACATAGTTTAGCTGGGTCCCCCAGCTTAGGGTCTCTCACCATCCAATTGTCAGCTGAGGATGCCACAGCTGAACTGGGGAAGAATTAACTTCCAAGCTCACATAAGTGGTTGTTGGTGGGATACAGTTCCTCCTAAACTGTTGGAATGAGAGACTCAGTTCTTCGCTGGTTGTTGGCCAGAGGCTCCCCTCCCATGTGGGCCTCTTTATAGTTTAGCTCACAAAATGGCAGCTCACTTCCACCCAAGTGAGCGAGCAAGAGAGTAGGAGCGGGCAGGCAAGATGGAAGCCAGAGTCCTTGCGTGGCGTAACTCAGAAGTGACAAGTAACACACCATCACTTTTTGATTCATCAGAACAGGGGTTTAGCAACCACAGTCAGCAGTCCACATCTGGCCCACCACCAAATTTTATAAAGTGTAACTGGGATACAGACAATCTCATTTATTTATGTATTGTCTGTGGTTGCTTTTCTTTAGTAAATTTCACTTATGAGTCTCTTGTTTTCTTATTGTTTCCATATTTATTCAGTATTTTTCTTCATCTACTTACTGGATAACTTTTTTTTTTCTTTTTTAAGACGGAGTCTTGCTCTGTCACCCAGGCTGGAGTGCAGTGGCATATCTTGGCTCACTGCAACCTCCACCTCCCTGGTTCAAGCAATTCCCCTGCCTCAGCCTCCCGAGTAGCTGGGATTACAGGTGCATGCCACCGTGCCTGGCTAATGTTTTTTGTATTTTTAGTAGAGACAGGGTTTCACCATGTTGGCCAGACTGGTCTCAAACTCCTGACCTCAGGCAGTCTGCCCACTTCAGCTTCCCAAAGTGCTGGGATTACAGATGTGAGCCACCACAGCTGGCCTCTGTGGCTGCCTTTTTGGCTACAATGAAATTAAGTAATTGGGAGAAAGACCATATGGCTCAGAAAGCAAAAAATATTTATTATCTGGGCCTTTACTGAAAAAGTTTGTCAACTCCTGCATTATAAGCATCTAGGCCACATCTAAGGGAAGGGGATTCACATAAGGCATAAAGATCAGGAAGCTGAGGTCATTGGGAGCCATTTTAGAAGCTTCCTCCCCATAGTGTCTGCCATAGAATAGGTATTTGGCAAGTATTTGCTGAATGAATAAATGGATAATTGTTCTATAATTGCAGTTCAAACCATAACTGCTATGGTTTGAATGTGTCACCTCCAAATATCAGGTTTTGAACCTTAATGGCCAACGTAATGACATTAAGAGGTTGGGCCTTTAAGAGCTAGGTCATGAGGGCTCCTTCCCTTGTGAGCTGGAATTCAGATCCTTATAAGGCTTCACACAGCGTTCACCTCACTTGCCCTTCCACCTTCTGCCATGTGAGGGCAGACATTCCTCCTCTGCGGAGAATGCAACAAGGCATCCTCTTGGAAGCAGAGAGCAGCCCTCACCAGCCAACCAGACCTGTCAGCACCTTGACCTTGGATTTAGCAGCCTCCAGAACTGTGAGAAATACATTCCTATGCTTATAAATTACCCAGTCTCAGGTTTTATTAAAGCAGCAGAAACAGAGACATGCATCTGCTAATTTTCCAAATTCAGGGGATAAAAAAGCAAGTTATTAGTAAGAAAAAAAACAAATTTCTTCACTATTAGGATTTGACAATTGTGTCACAACTGTGACAATTTATCAAGTCTGTGATCTTACTAGCAATTTCCATCATTATGTTTAATAAGTCATATGGTAAAATAAGCTTAGAATTGAATTAAATATAGATTTGACAGATTATTCTTCCATGACATCAGCAAATTAGAAAAAAATGGAAGCATTTTAAGGGACTCATTTGAGATAAGAATGCATTCTGGGGCAAGAATACTTATTGTGCATTCTGTTTACAATACAGCAGTCACCAGTATCTTCTATATACAAGAGAGGTTCAAAACCTTAGTGTATAAAACCAAACTCTCAACCATTTTTTCATCCTTTTTGTGTGTCTTTTCTACAGAAGCGAAAATACTGTGCCATGAAGTTCTTTCTTGATTTTTTTTTTTTTTTTGAGACAAGAGTCTCGCTCTGTCACCCAGGTTGGAGTGCAGCGGCGTGATCTCGGCTCACTGCAAGTTCCGCCTCCCGGGTTCACACCATTCTCCTGCCTCAGCCTCCCAACTAGATGGGATTACAGGGACCCACCACCACGCCTGGCTAATTTTTTGTATTTTTAGTAGAGACGGGGTTTCACTGTTTTAACCAGGATGGTCTCGATCTCCTGACCTTGTGATCTGCCTGCCTCGGCCTCCAAGGGATCACAGGCGTGAGCCACTGCACCCGGCCTCCTTGATCATTTAAGAATGATCTTTTTCTTCTACAAAGTGGCATGTCTCTACTGGAAAAGTGAATGTTGTGGCTGCCATCTCACAGCCCAGCTTTTGACTTCGAATTGAAACTCCAGTGTGGGTGATGCAAAACTGGAGGCCCCTTTGTTACCTCACTCTGTAAAGCAAGGGCCTAAATGATTCTAAAGTCTGTTGCAAGAAGGGAATACAACAGAAGACCCCAATCTGTGTCTTTCCTCATTTGTAACTGGATCCAACAAACGTGCTAAGTAACAAGATCAAAATGAGGAGGGGGATGTGTAGTAAATATTGTATTTAACATCTTAATTTTTGTTTGAGTGTCTACACTGACTGGCACAGCACTAGAAAATCTCTTCCCCCGTACACTGGCTCATTGAATGCTCAGATTCGCACTGGGAGTTAGATTATAGAAGAGAAGAACATGGTAGAGAAAATCATCCAGTCGGCATGCAGTGGCTCACACTTGTAATCCAGGCATTTTGGGAGGCCAAAGTGGGTGGATTGTTTGAGCTCAGGAGTTCCAGATCAGCCGGGCCAATATGGCAAAGCTCCATCTCTACAAAAATTAACCAGGTGTGGTGGCATTCGCCTGTAGTCCTAGCTAGTTGGGAGGCTGGAGTGGGAGGACTGCTTGAGCCCAGGAGGCAGAGGTTACAGTGAACCAAGGTCCAAGATTGTGCCACTGCACTCCAGCCTGGGCAATACAGTGAGACCCTGACTCAGAAAAAATAAAAGAAAATCAGAAAATCATCCAAGGTTACACAGGTGGTAATTGGCCATCAAGTTTCAAAATTATACTAGATTTTTGTTCTGAAGTGTAAGTTTAACTTGAATATAAAACGGTATTAAAAGAAAAACTTCCGCTGAATTAAATTTAAAGGAGTTTAATTGAGCAATGAACGATTCGCGAATCAGGCAGCTCCCAGAATCACAGCAGATTCAGAGAGACTCCCGCGGTGCCTTGCGGTCAGAACAAATTTATAGACAAAAAAGTGAAGTGATGTACAGAAATCAGAAATGAGGTACAGGAACAGCTGGATTGGTTACAGCTCAGCAGTTGCCTTATTTGAACACAGTTTGAACACTCAGCCGTGTATGAGTGGTTGAAGTATGGCTCCTGGGATTGGCCAAGACTCAGCGATTGTTACAGGCACGTACTCCTAAGTTAGGTTTTCATTCCTGTCTACCTATTAAATTAGGTGGCAATTCATCCACAAGGATTCAAATATAAAAGTACAGAGTCCATCTCAGGCCATATTTAGTTTGCTTTAACAACTGCTACGGATGTATTTGGAAATACATTTCTATGTCGTGGCTGACTATCCTTTACAACAGGTATATTGATGAGGAACTCAGAAATTGACATTGGCACTTCTATGCTTAGTCAAAAGAAGGATGGGGCTTGTTGTGTGACAACCTGTGATATGGTAGAATAATAAAATATATATATATTGGTCTTTGTCCCTGGTTCCTGACATAGAGCTCCTAAAACTCTTGTAGATGTGGATGCTAGGATAATCTTTTGTTCTAATATTTGGTTTTTGACCCCAGTTCCTGACACAGAGCTCCAAAATCCCTTGGAATTTCCTGGGTGATAGGAACATCTTTTGTTCAGATGAAGTGAATCTTGGTGAACCCCTAGATAGCTTTAGGATGGGGGCTGGTTACCAGGGAAACCAACCATGTGATTATGCAGCTGGAACTTTCAGCTCCATCCTGTGACCTCTGGGGAGGAGAAAAGGGCTCAAGTTGAGTGATCACCAAATGGCCAATGATATCATCAATTGTGCCTATGAATGAATCCTCCATTAAAATCCCAAGGGACAAGATTCAGGGATGTTTGAGATAGCTGAACATATGGAGGGGCTGAGAAGGCATGGAAGTTCCACACCCTTGGCCACATACCTTTCTCTGGGCATCTCTTCCATCTGGCTATTCATCTGTGTCCTTTGTAATATCCTCTATAGTAAATGGGCAAACATAAGTAAAGTGTTTCCTTGAATTCCGTGAGTCACTCTAGCAAAGTAATCAAACCGGAGGAGGGGCTTGTGGGAACCCAGATTTGTAACTGGTTGGTTAATCATAAACAACATATAGTCACAACCTGGGGCTTGAGATTGGCATTTGAAGTGGGGGACAGTCTTTTGGGACTGAGCCCTTAACCTGTGGGATCTGACACTAACTCCAGGTACACAGTGACAGAGCTGGGTTAAATTATAGGACATAGAGTTGGTGGCCACTGGAGAATTAGTTGTCGGTGGGAAGAAATTCCCACACATTTTGGTGACAAGAGGTGAAGGGCAGTATGGAGTGTGTGAGAGTAAAGAGAAAAGAGAGTTTTGTTGTTGTTGTTGTTGTTCCCACTCAGAAAAATCAAAGCCCAATTAAAAGATGAAATGGCTGAACAATTGCCAGCCCATATAGAGAGCTAAATCCTCACTGGGATCACACATGATGTCAATTAACTGTGTTTCCACAGGTGATCCGTTACACAGGTGGAGAAATGCAAGTTAGTCTGGTCCTTCTCCACTACAGTAGACAGAGTGGCTTAGAAATTAAAACATTGGCCGGGCGCGGTGGCTCAAGCCTGTAATCCCAGCACTTTGGGAGGCCGAGGCGGGTGGATCACGAGGTCAGGAGATCGAGACTATCCTGGCTAACATGGTGAAACCCCGTCTCTACTAAAAATACAAAAAACTAGCCGGGCGTGGTGGCGGGCGCCTGTAGTCTCAGCTACTTGGGAGGCTGAGGCGGGAGAATGGCGTGAACCCGGGAGGCGGAGCTTGCAGTGAGCCGAGATCATGCCACTGCACTCCAGCCTGGGAGCACAGCGAGACTCGGTCTCAAAAAAAAAAAAAAAAGAAATTAAAACATTGCTCCTTGGCAGAGGTATGTACCTACATTCGCATACTTCTGCAATTCACACATACAAATTGTGCAATGATTCCTTTATTTAATTATCAAAAATTTACTTCCTTAAATATGCCTCCAAAAAGGTTATCTGGTTCTAAAGATTGCACCAAAAAAACGGGAGTAGAAGAAAAGTGTGATTGGTGAAAAAGCAGAAATGAAAGACAATTCCAGTTGAGTTAAATGTTCCACATTTAGGGCATGTAAAGATACATGCCAGTATATAATTTTTATTAAGTACACACTAAGCAATGGATAATGAAAATAATGGCGTGTTTTGAGGAAACCTGGGCTATTGATAGTACAGGTGGTGACAGAAAATACCATACTTGAGCTGGTATTTTGAAATGGTAGAGGTGCTCTCTGATTTATAAGTTTAAAGCTATAAAATTAAAGCACGCTGTAACAAACAAGATGCAACTGTTGCTATAAAACTTCCAAGTCCTTAACCCTTCTTCCTCCCACTGAAATAATTGTTTTTAGAGCATGATTTTTGAGGTTTCTGTGGAGCACAAACGTCAGTTCCTGCAGAACAGACTGTAGCAGGCTTGCATACAATTGCATGGGTTGCAGTGAACTTTAATACTGATGATGTCAGGATATTCTGTTCTGATACATATGCAAAGTTTATTAATAAGCACAGCATCGGTATTTTTAAATCGGTAAATATTTTAAAGTACCACTGTTTTATTTGTCCTGTTCGTCAAATCTTAGCATATTAACTCTTAGAGCTATCCTTATAACCACGACCTGTATTCACAGTAGATTTTTTGTATTTCTCCTTCATTCCCCCAACCCAGCCCCCACCCTACTGCCTACATTTTTGGACCCCATAGGAGGAAAGGGGGCAAGAACTGTCAGAAGGAAGAAGGCCTATGAAAATCAGCGTTTTCCAAAGTGCTCAAGTACTTTACTTCGATCCCAAATCAGTTCTCTTGAGGAGGTAAGAGTTTATTTGCCATGGCCCGATGCAAACCCCTACCCTACGCGCGGATTTTGTTCCTCCCCAGAGCCTCTTGAGAGTCTTGGTTAATTCCAAAGCTGCTAAGGGACTCCAGGGTCCCGGAGGGAGGGCCCTGCGCCCCTCAGCGCTGCTTAGGGTCTTCCTGGGCGGCTGCACTGGGAAACTAAGCCGGCCCAGGCGATGTGCCCCGGGCGGCCCCAAGAAAAAGAGGAGCGGCTCAGAAGCCACGGGCTTTACCTCTGGGAAGTGGCCATGAGGCCCGGCATGGTGGCGGCTGTCTCCTCTTGAAACCGTGCAGTGAAAATCGAGTGCGCCCTCTCCGGCCCGCAGCTCCGGAGAGGGGTGGGGCAGGGACGGGGTCATCTCCATAGGGACCCAACAACACTGAGCCGCCACCCCGCCCCAGCGGCCGACCTGGACCTCCCCAGCTGCAGTGTGCAGAGCCGCCCGCCCCGTGCGGGCCACCGCCCTTCTCTCCGCAGTCGCAGCGCTAGGCCAGCTAGGTTCGGGTCCCGGCTCCTTTCCCCGTCCCCAGGGAGCTTGCCGTGGGAAAAAGCTTTCGTGGGGTCCCGTGGGTCGCGGCACGTCTCGGAAGCCCTACGAGGTGTCCAGCAGAGGTGCTAGACCCAAGGCCGTGGGACCCCAAGAAGAGACTCGGACACTGAAGTCAACGTTTGCTTGATCTCAAACAAAGCCAGCGATGTTAATTAAGGCTGTGTGATGAGGAAAGTGGAGTTTCTTATTTGTTGTCATGTTCATCTTCAGCAGATCCTCAGAAAATGTTAATATTTACTGCAGAAGTACCAAGTTCAGCATTATACAGGAGGTACAAAAACAAAATCGCAAAAACAAAACCAAAAAACCCTTCCTCATTAGTTTCTGGTCAAAATGTCTTTTAAGTATTTTTTGTGCTGTTTTTTTTTTTTTTCTTTTGTATGTAATAGTTATGGCCATGAAAAGATGCTCACAATACATTACGTATAAAAAGCAGCTTAGAAAACCACCAGAATGGTACGATTTATTTTTTTTGCAACATGTTTAAGAAATCTGGGAGTATGTACACAAATAGGTTAAATGGTTTGCTCTGGTAGTTTTAAAAATCATCTGTAATTCGATTTTTTCTACAATGAATAAGCAACATCTATGTAATAAAAAAGTTTCATTCTAGTAAAGTTTCTTATGAGAGATGGCATCTTGCTATGCTGCCTAGGCTGGAGTGCACTATAGCCTAGGCAGCATAGCAACATCATTGTGCGCTATATTTTTATTTTTATTTCAAATACATTTTTCTTTTTCATCTGTATGCCAGTAAAATCATCATCATGCACTATAGCCTAGAACTCCTAGGCTCAAGCAATCCTCCTGCCTCAGCCGCCAGAGTAGCTGAAAGTACTGGTGCCTGTCACCAAACCAGGCCCTAAATTTTATTCTAATACAGGCACCGCATTTTTTTCCTGTTGCCTTGGATATGTGTTTAAGGAGTGTGAAAGGATACAAATTAGATAAGCTAATATTTCACTACCTGGGACCCATCTGGGGCCCTGTGACACAAAGGGCAAATGATCCAAGTGAATAAACAAGGTCAATCCACTGCTCTGTCACAACCCACAGGAATCAGCTTTTTGCTTTACTCTATCTCAGGACCAATCCAAGAAAAATTTCACATGACAAAGTATCCTTTCGCCCTGTTAGACCCTAGAGTACTACTTTTTCCCCTTAAATCCCTATTCTCACAACCCAAATGAAGTTTCCTCCGTGATGCTGTAGTTTTTAAAAGGGGTATTAAAAAGACCAATTAAATAAACTGATCAAAATACTTTGAATTCAGAAAGCCAAAAATTATTAAAATCAAAATTTGAAAAATATTCAATAAATCCTCTCCTCCCCTCCCCCAATTAGGTGCTTATTTCTGTGGCCTGGAAACAAGGAGACAGAAGCATGAGCATCTTCTGCAACACAAAGGTAACCGAGCTATAAATAAGCAAAATGTGTTCTATCCATACCATGGAGTATGATTCAACCAAAAAAAGAAATGAAGTATATGCAATCACATGGATGAAGCTTAAATCCTTGAAAACATCATGCTAAGTAAATGAAACCAGTCACAAAAGGCCACGTATTGTATGATTCCATTTATACAAAATGTCTAGAATAGAAAATCCAGAGACCTGGAAAGGAGGTTAGTGGCTGCCAAAGGCTGAGGGGCTTGGGGGACAAGGAGTGACTGTTAATGGGATTCTTTTTAGGGTGATGAAAATGTTCTAGAATTAGATAGATCACAGTGATAGGTATATAACTCTATGAATCTACTAACAATCACTGAATTGTACACTTTAAAGGGGTATATTTTATGACATGAATTATTGTTTCAATAAAGCTGTTTTTAAAAGGTGATGAAATGAATGTTTACTGAGCATTGCTGGTGTCAGCTATTGTGATAGACATCTCTCTCTCTCTCTTTTTTTTTTTTTTGAGACAGAGTGTTGCTCTGTCGCCCAGGCTAGAGTGCAGTAGCGCAATTTCGACTCACTGCAACCTCTGCCTCCTGGGTTCAAGCAAGTCTTGTGTCTCAGGCTCCCTGGTAGCTGGGATTACAGGAGCCCACCACCACATCCAGCTAATTTGTGTGTATGTGTTTTTAGTAGAGGTGGGGTTTCACCATGTTGGCCAGGCTGGGTCTTGAACCCCTGACCTCAAGTGATCCACCTGCCACAGCCTCCCAAAGTGTTGGTATTACAGGCGTGAGCCACTGCGCCCGGCCTGTGCTAAGCATCCTATACATCCTTTTTCACTTACTCCCCATATAACCACTACCAACTTGGTTACTGACCTCATTTTCTAGATTACAAAAAAAAAAAACCCAACCTGAGTAAACGTGCATGAACACAAAGCTAAGCGGGGGCAAAACGGGGATTCAAATTAAGGTCTAAGTAACTTTAAAGCTCACATTCTTTCATCACACCAGTATTTAAATGTACACAAGGTACAGAATTTGCAAGGAAGTTCTAGAACCTCAAATTTTATAAACAGTTTACTTGTAAGGATTGAACCCTTGTATCGCCCAGATTGAAGACTACATGGGTTTCTTCAAAACAGACAACAGAGATTAATTTAAAACAACTACTTTATTAAAAAATAGCAAATCTCACAAATACTTATTTAATTTCTTATCACTGGCCATTGGAAAACACACCAACGTGTATACAGATTGTCTAACGTAAACTGAAGCTGGGCTGCCACAAGACGCCTGTGCATCATCAGTTTGCGATCAACACTGGAATAAGTTTGGTGAGCTTGGGAAAGAGAAATCCCTCAACCCCGTCAAGAACATTAGCACAATGCATTTCAAGTATAATCCCATAAGGCAACAATATGAAGCATAGCAGCACAATCTCTGCATCACATTTCCTGATTAAGCCTTCAACAAGGCCTAGGCCTCCAGTTATGGCGAATTATGGCGAGTCACATTTACTAAAAGCAGAATGTGAAAACGATCATTGCACTTGCACTTTAATTACTTTAATTTCTTGTTGTGGAAGATGATTCTGCTACTGGATTTGGCTGGAAAAGTAAAGACTGCTGCTTCTCTTCAAACCACAGAGAGCAAACTGCATTCATTTTAGCTAGCAGAAGTATTTGGAACATCTTGTGCATCTGCCAAATGGAGTTTTTGTCTGAATTCATCAGTTAAGAAGATTTTCATTCTATAAGGGGTACTTCTTTTACATTTCTGAAAATTACATTCAGGAGCAAAGAGAAAGAGGTGTTTAAAACAGAGATATGCTCAAAGGAAAAGCTCTTGTGTTGCTACTGAGAGGATTTATTGAATATTTTTCAAATTTTGATTTTAATAATTTTTGGCTTTCTGAATTCAAAGTATTTTACCCCACTCAGATGGGGTAAGACAACTTTTAAACGTAGTAAATTATAGACAGAATGTGAAGACTTTTTTTTTTTTAATTTTAGAGATAAGGACTCACTTTGTGGCTCTGGCTGGAATGCAGTAGTACGATCATACTTCACTGCAGCCTCAAACTCCTGGGCTCAAGCAACCTTCCCACCTCAGCCTCCCAAAGGCACATGCCAACACACCTGGCTAATTATTCTTTGTTAGAGATGGGGGAGGAGTCTTGCTATGTTGCCCAGGCTGGTCTTGAACTCCTGGCCTCAAGCAACCTTCCTGCCTCGGCCTCCCAAAGTGCTGGGATTACAGGTGTGGGCCACACCTGGCTCAGAATTATTTTTAATGTGTCAATAATCATTTTCATAGTAAGGAGCTGATTAGAGACAAATATGACAAGACACTAGATTAAAAAAACCTTTTGAGAAGACACCACTTTATCATCTTTGGGAAAACAATTCTGTTTAAAAGTCCAAAAATAAAATCATTACGGCTCTAAAATCTTTTCTATAATTCTCTTAATTGTTCCTCAAGAAAACTGGAAATAGGACAGGAATCTTGCATGGATTACTCATCCTTTCTTACAATCACTGTCTTTCATTTTTCTCACTGACCTGTATTTATCCACCTGTTACTTATTTTTCAAGACCCAATTGAATGATATGAATACTCTGAAGGCAACTAAATGGTTGCAATACATGTACGGCAGACGTTGCAAAAATGTACAGACATAAGCATTGCCATCAAAGATATCCTCGTCCAGTTGGAAGGCTGAGATTTAACACATGTAAAAATCAACAGATAATAATATAGGGCAGAATGCTAGGTTAAGGTACAAATGAAATCCTTTATGGAAGTGGTCAGCTTGAATGTAATGTGATAAGGAGAACAAGGAGGTGAGAGTAAATTTAGGTAGGAGGTACAACCTGAACAAAGGCATTATGATGAGAATGAACATGATGTGTTTCCTGGGCATCCAGAAAACCAGCCTGAGGGGAATGAAAAAGAACGAAAAATACAACAGCATGTACAGGTTGTGACCAAATTATTAAGAACCTTTAAAATAGTTGACATGGTTTAAATAAATTTGTAAAAAATAGAAATGGCAGGAAGAAAGTGATGTTTCAAGAATATTAATTTTGTAGCAATGCCTAAAGTTTAGAGCAACACTGTCCAATAGAAATACTGGAATCACACCTGGAATCCCAGCACTTTGGGAGGCTGAGGTGGGAAGACTACTTGAGCCCAGGAGTTTGAAATCAATCTGGGCAACATAGCAAGAACCCATCTCTTAAAAAACAAACAAACAAACCAACAAACAAAACCAAAAAAACAGCTGGGCATAACATACACCTGTAGTCCCAGCTACTCAGGAGGCTGAGGTGGGAGATCAACTGAGCCCAGGGAGTCGAGGCTGCAGTGAGCCATATCATGTCACTGCACTCCAGCCTGGCGACAAAGCAAGGCCCTGTCTCAAAAATATATATATAATATTTTAAGAACTATTTCAACATGTAATCATTATAAAAATTGAGATATTTTATGTTTTTTTAAGGCTATTAAGTCTTTGAAATGGCTTAGTGGCTACTATATTGAACAGTGCAACTCTAGACCTGGAACAGAAAATTGAAAAAGTATGGACTCAGACGATGAGGTCCTGGATTATCATGTAGAGAGTGAAGGAAGAATAAAAGCAGAACTGATGATACTGATGATCCCTGACAACTGTAATAAAGAGATGGCAAACAGACTTCATATCCAGATCCAGGCTCAGTGGCAGAGAATGCCATGTCTGATTAGCAATGTCTGCCATGGTCCTCTAAGGCATTTTAAAATATTCTTGGAGACTGAATTAACAGAGGCAGTCATGACAGAGAGGGAAATTATGAGGGGAAAGTTTAAGTACTGAGAGAACACCTATTACAGGTGAGGAAACTATGGTTGCCAGATTTTGTTCAAGGTCACATGGCTGCCTACCAAGCATTCCAAAGCCTACACTGTTGTATTATATAGGGTATTATGCTGCCACGTTTGTGGTGGCTAAATTCCACCACAGGTTGAGTCACAGAAAGTGGTAAAACAAAACAAAACAAAAAATTCTAAATGTTTAACAAAAACTCACAAAAAAGGGCTGGGCGTGGTGGCTCACGCCTGTAATCCCAACATTTTGGGAGGCCGAGGCGGGCAGATCACCTGAGTCAGGAGTTCAAGACCAGCCTGGCCAACATGGTGAAACCCCATCTGTACTAAAAATACAAAAATTAGCTGGGCATGGTGGCAGGCACCTGTAATCCTAGCTGCTCAAAAGGTTGAGGCAGGAGAATTGCTTGAACCTGGGAGGTGGAGGTTGCAGTGAGCACAGATTATGCTACTGTTTCAGCCTGGGCAACTGGGCAAGACCCGTCTCAAAACAAACAGACAAACGAAAAAACCACACAAAAGGATAGGAAATACTTAAGTGTCATGGCAGAGAAAGAATATAAAGCATTGAAGGAATATAGTAAAAAGAACTTCTTGCAGGAAAAGCCCCTTGATTAACTCAAATCTTACCCCCTTCTTTAACTCTTTCTTGACAATAATCTTACATTAATCTCTCCCCACAGTTTATGTAGCACCTTATTTTCTTCATCTGCAAAATGGAGGGCATAACACTACCTACTTCCAAGTAGGGCCAAATAAGATAATGCACATACCCTTTATACAGTACTGGGAAAATAGTAAGTATTCATGAAGATTAACTATTCATTGCCATTACAGGACTTCTATATACTTCCCGATTTCTTTTGCCCAGGCTGGAGTGCAATGGCATAATCCCTACTCACTGCAACCTCCACCTCCCAGGTTCAAGCAATTCTTCTGCTTCAGCCTCCCAAGTAGCTGGGATTACAGGCGCCCTCCACCACACCTGGATAATTTTTGTATTTTTAGCAGAGACAGGGGTTCAAGATGTTGGCCAGGCTGGTCTTGAACTCCTGACCTCAAGTGATCCACCCACCTCAGCTTCCCACAGTGCTGGGATTACAGGCATGAGCCACTGTGCCTGGCCCCAATTTCTTAATTGTTGTTACTGCA